GATTTTAAACAGTTCTTTGGGCATCAGGATTGAACCGCATCTAAACATCTCAGCGTTTGCTGCTCACTTGTCTGTGTTGGCAGTTTTGCGGAACTCGCGGACGGTCATCGGCTTCTTCTGGATGTTGTACTGAGTGAAGAGACCTGATTGGCCAGTGACCACCTGTTGAATCGGTGCGGGAATCACCAGGTCATCAATGTCATCATATGTGCGCCGGGGCTTCCAGTCCTTTGGTGGCACCACCTGACAAACAAGCACATCAGTCAGCAAACCTTCAATGATCATCCACAACACCCAAAAAACAGTCTCTCTCAGCATTTTGAGCTGAATGAAAATCTTGTACACTAACCTTAGCCATCCCGGCTCTGTGAGCCCCCTGCGACTCCATATACACAATGTATCTGTTGAAGTCTTTGAACTCCTCTCTTGTGGGATGAAAGGTCATGATCCTGGTGGCAGGACTCTGGGAGCTTTGAGAGACCGAGTCCGAAGCCATTCTGCCACTTGGACTGTAAGAGAAACAGGAAGATGAAGATTTCAGCAACAAACACAAACAAAACTAAATACGCAACATACTCATGCTTTTTTGAAAAACAACCATACCACACCAACACCACCAATTACATTTTTATTGCAACAAGTATCTTCTTACACCAGACTAATAAACTTCACATGCAAACCACCATCACTATAACAACTACCACTACTAGGCAAGACAATTTACTTCTAACACATTTTATACACATATATAATTGTGCTAATTTAAAGTGATTCAAAATATTTGCATAAGGAAAAGATAAAGCAATCTAGTTTAAATAATGTAAAAATAAATATTTAAGAAAATAATAAAAAAGCTCAGTTTAAAAAAAAAAGTATTTAATTAATTAAACATAAATATAAACAACATAATTCATAATTCATGAAATAATTATACATTTTTAATTATAAATATTTTAAAGACTATATTAAAAACAACAATAGGCATCATTGAAGGACAGAAAAAGTATAAATATTAGGCCTACAACTTGTTGGAGCAACTAAATACAAACAATTCAGGGGAAAAAAACAATAAAAGGATTGATTAGAGCACATTAATACTGATTTAAGTAGAAAACTATAGAATAAATGAACTTGTAACGGTTAACAACATGCTCATAGATTTTACTGACAGAAATAAACTTAATGAACTGTTTTAATAAAATCAACATTATACAGAAATGCACTCGCTGCACTATTATATTCAAGCACACAGTATATAATAAAAACATTAAAACACTGTAGTTTAACATCTGTTATAATTGTGAATGTTGAAGCGCCTGTAAACTCACACTAGCATGCTAGCTGACGTTAGCCTGACAAACACATCATATCGAATCATTTAACGTTAGAGTGTTTAATGAGAAAGCATCATATCTATGAATGTGTCATGATCTCATTATGAGGTTTTGCTCAGGACCACTGAAAGTTTTGACCCCGAAATCTCTCAACTCACTGCAAAAACAACAACAACACACACAC